TGTTGTTTGGTGGGCCTGGACTGGATTCGAACTTGCCACCTTAGGTGTATGTGGCTGGCGCATTAGCCGCTTGAGCCACAGGCACCAAGCCAGAGATGCTTTATTTGGATTGAGTCTTGCTGTTTTTCTGAAGCTGTCTGCTAGCTGAAGTTCTGTATCTCTTGCAATGCTTGGGAAATTATCCTCCAAAATCTCTTGGAGTAGAGCATCTGTATCTTTAGGACCATCCTCTTCTCCTTCAGGAATTCCTATAAGATGAATGTTTGATCTTTTGGAGTGATCCCACAGCTCTCTCAGGGAATGATCAGTTTTTACTCTCCATTTGTCTGCCTTTTTGAGTGTTTCAGAACATTCAAAAGCTTTGTCTCCAGTTTCAGAGAACCTTTCTTCTGCCTGGTCAACTCTAGTACTGTTCACAGGCTCTTCTGGAGTCAGGGCACCAGGCCCCACCCTCCAGTCTCAGTCTATACCCAGCCAGCCTCTGCTTGCCAGACCAGTTGGAGTCAGGGGACCATGCCCCCACCTGCCAGTCTCAGTCCACTGCCTGGCAAGCCTCTGTTTGCAGGCTCTGTTAGAGTCAGGGCATTGCACTCTGCCCCCATGTCTCAGTCCTCACCCAGTAAGCCTCTGCTCACTAGCTCTGCTGGAGATGGGACCACGTCCTAGCCCTCATGTCTTGGTTCACACCCAGTAAGCTAGTGCTCAAGGGTTCTGTTGGAATCTGGGGACCACGCCCTTGTTCTCAGGTCTCAGTTCACACCTAGTAAGCTTCTGCTCACAGACCCAGCAGGGGCTAGGGACCAGCTCTGTCTACCAAACTCAATCCACATGGGGCAACTGCTCTCCCACTGTGGGTGCTGTCAGAGCCAGGGGTTCTGCACCCTGTCCTGCCAGACGCAGCCCAAACTGAGGGTTAATACCACTACTCACAGGGCATAGTCATAACCAGGGGACTGCTCCTCCTCACACCAAGTGTCCCTTTCTTCCCACACCTTCTTTCTTCCTGCTGGTTGGCGGTCCACACTATGCCCAAATCTCTCAGGGCAAGACAAAACAGTTTATGCTCTGCAGGGGGCAACTCTTCAGACTGCCATGCCAGGGGGAAATGGTGGACTGGGAGTTTGGACTTATGGGGGACAATATCTGTTCGATTTTATGCCTGGGAGTGGTGTCTAGGTTCATAAGAGGGACCTCCCTGGAGAAAGAGACCTGGAGTTTAGTAGCTATCTGCAGTGAGGTAAATTGAGAGGTCTTTTGTTCCCTGCTCATTCACAGATAGCTGGTGGTGGGCCTCCTGCTTGGGGAAGGGGTCGCCTGTTCTCTAGTCAATAGGCTTTGTACCTGAAATTTGTTTTCTTGACTGTTCTTCCTTGGATTTATAGCTTGCTGAATTTCTTTCTTGGCTCAACTCCCTACCTTTGGGTTCATAGAGTCTGGTTCTGTCCAGTTTTCTTCCTCTGCTCAGGAGCCTCTGCTGAGGGTTGCTACCAGTTGGCCATCTTCCCAGAATTCCCCACAGGCAGGTTTCTGGGCCCCAGAGACTCTGATTGGAGCAGACCTGCTGTGGGCTGGACAATACACATTTCTAGCATGTGTCCAAAGACACTGGCCCTACTGGTCAAGGACCACAACCCAGAGGTTAGGGTCAGGGGCTTGAACATGGTATCTGGTGCAAAAAGTGTTTGGCAAACATCCCCCAATTTGCTGACATTGTGACTAGCAAGGGTTGCCACTACTCACTCAATACTTCTTCAGGGTCAATGAAATCTGTTGGAGGAAAGCACAGCAAGTCTCCTTCCAGAAGTCCATTTGCCTCTGGACCTACATGCATGACCACTCAGGCTTCCTGCAGTGCATGGCCAGAGCCCCCTCCTCTCAGTTAACCTCCTGGGGACCCCATGGCAGCATGTCCCTGAGCTCTGTGAGTCCCATGCTCCTGGAATCATGCCAACACCATTCTATGGATCAGCAAATTGAGGCACAGAGAAACTGCTTGATGAACAGGACCTGACCAGAGAGGGTTAGCAAACAGATCCAGGATCATGATGATGGGAACACCATTAATCCTTCTCACTGCTGCCCAGCATAGCCACACCACCAAGATTTGTTTCGTTGTGTTTTTCTATAATGACCTAACATGAGGTCACATGAGGTGTCCTTAGCCTTAACTGAGATGTTATTTTGACAATGAGCAGACACAGCCTGCCAGTGAGTACACTTCAAAATGTGATCTATGGTAACAGGGAAAAAATTCCAAAGTCACACTTTAATGTGGAAGATGTCCTTGTGAATAGCATGGGGGAGCCCTGGCTTCCTTGGCATCACCTCTGCGTCACCTTCCAGCCCCAGCCACTCTGGACCCTGCCACAGCCTGCAGGTCCTCCAGGGAGAGCTCCCCACTCCCTACTCCCGAGTCCCAGTGAAAGCTCCCAGCTGGATGTGCCTAGGAAAGCCCTGGTTCAGTTTAGTGTGAGGACTAATAATGTGTGTCTGCTGCAGTCTGTGCCCTCTCTTTCCTGGGCAACTGCCTGCTCCAGTGACCTACAAGAGAGTGGCCTGTAGTGTGACCTGTAAACAGAAACCATGGCAGTCTCAGGGTGGCTGGGGTACCATGGGCAGGCTGTTTGTCCCCGAATCTGCAGCAGGGACCCAGTACTGCCACTGTCGTAGACTGGAAGGGGGATTGCATGGGAATGCAAATTTGGATTTGGAAAGGATGTGGATGTAGGTCCGTGAAGGGGACTCTGCTCTACAGATTATCTTAATAGAAATGTCAGCACCTCTTCTCTGCAGTGGTTCCACACAAGGCAAGTCTATTCTCAAAGCACCAGGGAAAGGGAGACACAGCCCTGGAGCCCCTGTCTTAGGATGATGGTGAAGATAATCTCTGTACTCCACAAAAATGTTGGAGCTTCACCTCCAAAAAATGTGATCAGAAGCCTCTACAGAAGTTGCACTTCACATTTGCTGCAAAACAAATAACAAAAATTCCCTTTACTAATCTAAGGCATTAAATGTTATGAGTCATCAGGCCCAAGTCTAAGAGACAGACTCTTACTACGAGAGGAATAAAATTACTTTCTGAGAAAAAGACTCTAAACACTAGTCCTTGCAACTGGAGCCCTGATTTTTGGTGTAATTACAATCTTTGGACATGATGCATGTTCTCAGCACCCTGTACCCCGCCAGCTTGTTTAGATGATGCACACTGTCATCTCTGTGGACAGGCAGAGCCTCAGCCAGTGGAATCCAGGATAAAAATATCAGTCTTGTTCTAAAATTCAAAATACAGTTCCAGAGTTGAAAATGTTCCCTGGCCAGGGTAAGAAGAGCTTGTTTCAGGGGCTAGGCCCCAGGTAGGCAAGGTGGCCCCATCCTTCCACAGACAGGGATGATGCAGGGGTGGAGAACAGGTAGGGGGGCTTTCAGGGTGCATTTGACACCCCTGTTCAGATCCCGGGAGAGCCTGTGGTGCCCACGTGGTGGGAAGACTAGCTCTGCACCCCGTCATCTTCTCCCTTTCCCAGCAAGGCTGCTCTACAGTTCATGCAGGTGGGCACTGTGGGTAGTCAGCCATACCTTTCTCTCCAGGGCCTGTGTGTCCCAGTCCAGGGCACATGCTGCCTACACAGCCTCGGCCCAGGGCCCAGTTCCCCAACCTGTGCATCTGGTCACAGTTGCCAGGCCCTGCCAGACCCAGCACTTGTGCCACCAAGGAAAGGGGTCGAATTCACAGCTTAGACAGATCTTGGAGGCCAAAACTGGGCCTGGGATGGCTGCTTGGCCCAGCCCAGTTGGAGGTTTCCCCATCAGTTCTGTCCCCTGTCTTCCATAACCACACCACAGTGCAGGGCAGAGTAGGACCCCACCCGCCCTCCCATCAGGGCTCCTTAGCCTTTCAGGTCCCTGCTGAGGGGCACTTGCCTCTGGGAGGGCCACAGATAGCCCACCATCCTCTTGGGTCCTGGGACTGTTGGGAAGGGGGCCAGTCACCACAAAGTTGTGTGAGTAAGATGCAGAAAATCACATAAGTGTGGGTTGGGGTCTCCTAATCACTACAGACACCAGCAAAAAGCAACAGCAGGGCTGAGCCAGACAAAGGACCTGCCAGGGGAAGCTGTTTGTAGCCACCATCCCACAACCCTAGTAGCTAGAGGAAGAACCTTGTGTGCCCTGAGGGCCTTCAGCATGCCCAAGAATGCCCCACAGGCACTGCACCACACTCACCCTACACCCAGAGCGGCGCACTCCCGTCCTGTGGTCTGGATGAGGGGTAGGTGTGGTGATGCTACAATCTCATGCTTTCTCAGTTGGCAAGTACAAATGTCTCCCTTTGATTAACAAGGATAGGAATGTAGCTGACTTCTGAAAGAATGATCTTTATTTGGTAGAGAAGAGTCTTTCAAATCTTTTCAAAGCCTGGGTTCCATAAGGGGCCAACAAATAGCATGCTTTGTAATGAAGAAAAGCTGGACTCAAAGCCTTTAGAAATGTCCCACTGGGGAGGGAAGCCATGTGTCACACAGAGGGTGCTAGCAGCTGCCTTCACTTGGGACATGTATGGGCGCTGCTGTGGACAGTCTGTGTGACAGGAGCGAGCCTCTGACAAGGAAAACCAGGCCTCTCCTCTCCACATCTCGACCTGGGCACACTGCTCCTAGCACGGTCCCACTGGTCTGGCCTGAGGGTCTGAGTGATGGTCACCTCCTCTCCCTGAGTGGATGACTACCCTTGTCATGCAGACCCATTCCTGAGCTCAGTCCTGGCCCCTACAAGGGCAGGGCCATGTCTGAGATGAGGCAGCCTGAGTGGCCCCACCTGGCCCTCAGGGCACTCCCAACACTGCCAGCCTGTCCTCCCAACAGTCACCTGCTTTGCATCCCTTCTTCCCTTGTCCTCCCAAGTAGGAGCTGACCAGGCTGTCTGGGCTGTCCACACCTTGGGCTGGAGTGCTCTCATCAACACTGTCACAGTGTGCCACCACCTGTCAGAGGCCTTACCTCATGGGACAAGTAGAAGGCAGCGATGCCCAGAGGCCAGAAGCAGCAGAGCATGGAGAAGACGCTGAGGCCCAGATGGTCCCGAGGCGGCATCATGAGGAAGTTGTCCTCACTCTCAGTGTCACTGGAGTAGTCGCTCTGCAGGAGGGAAGTGGGTGGGGCAGGAGAGAAGAGAAGGTTAATATGGGGTTGCTCTGGGGCCTGGGCCCTGAGGCAGGGCCTGGCAGGGGTTGGCCCTCTGTGGAGGCAGCTGTGGCTGTATCACTGTCATCACTGCAAGTACACAGCCTCCTGGAAAGGGTTTCCTCAAGGCAAGCTTACTAAGGGCAAAAAGAAAAAAAGATCCTGTGTATAGGGCTCTTGGGTCATCCAAGAGCAGAGAAAGCCCTGCAGGAACTAGTTATTTCTAAGCTCTGGGGGGATGGGTGCCCAGATGTGTGTTGGGGATAAAGGAAACCAGCAGAGGACACATAAACACCCCATGTGGACCCCACGTTTTATCCTAAGACTCCCTGCTTTACAGGACAGGGTTGGGTACGTGTGAGTGGAGGACACTGTCCCCTGAGCCTCCTATCCAGACACCCTCTGACTCTGGCCTGATAGCTGTTTGCTCTTCTGCAATGTAGTCCGGTCATGGGGCTTGTGCAGGGCTGAGCAAGAACCTTGGATGGATGAAGGTGTGTGAGGTGGGGAGGGGAACCAACTCAGGTGGCTCCAGCCATCCTCCCACCCCCAGGAGTGCTGGTTTCCCCAGGACACTGCATGGCTGGGTCCTCCCAGGGCTGGGTCCTGAGTGCTGGGCTGTCTAGTGTGAACTGTCATCCTTATCAGAACATGGCCCATTTAGGCCGACTCATCCCAGACCAGGGTTGCTCTATTTCTGTGTGTTCACACAAGGATGGAGTCCTATCTCACTGTAGAAGTGGTTCCTGAGCGAGAAGTGGCATGTTTTTTCTTGAAGGAGGGTTGTCAGCTCCTTAACTCCCCTTGCCAGCTGCTGGAGGTCGCACCAGGCCTGATGCAGGTGGGAAAGCTTCAGGAACACACCAGAGTGCTTGGGCATCAACTTGGGTGGCTTCGTAAGGAGGTGGTCACCTGAGGGGCCAGAGGGAGTCACAGGTGTGTGTGCCCTGTGTGGGTGGCCCCTGCACAGACACTGGCCTGGCCCTGCTATGGGCAGCCCGAGAGCCCCAGAGGTTCCCACTCACAAACATGCCGAGAGGGCCACGTATGTCCTTCCCTGTCTTTGCTGATTAGAAGCACATAGAGTAGGCACCAGTCCTGATCAGGGCACAGACAGTGGGGCTGCAGTGAGGTGAGGGCACTCCTGGGGGGACTTCACTTTTGTCCGGTGACCAAACTTCAATGCGCTCAGTCAAATGCAAACAAGGCTCCCTCCAGTTGGTGCCAGGTGGCAGCTGGACTCCCCCCAGCCCTTGGCCCGCAGAGCAGGGGTCTGAGCACTGGCCATGGCTCCCTGCTGGTACTACCAAATCCCTGCAGCGTTTAGAGCCAGGTCTGTGAAATTCCCATTCTCCCTACAGCCCCTCCCATGAAAGTCTCCGTCACTACGGCTGTCAGGGAAGGAAGGTGGGCAGCCTGTAGCCTTCACTGAGATGCGTCATGGAGACTCCAGTGCTTCCCAGCCCACTGTGTCTGCAGGATAATGTTCTGGTTGAGTCTTCACTACCATGCCTCTTTGCAAGCGAACCCGTCAACTCCAGACCTCATGTGAAACATGAGTTAGGGGGTGTCAGGGAAGCATATTGGAATTGCTAAGCTGCAGATAAGGGTGCTGGGGAGATCCCATCTGTGACATACCCACCCATGTCCAAAGACCCTTCAGAGAAGCAGAAGGCCAGCTGAGGGGGATGGCTGTTCCTCTCAGCCCTCAGCTGGGACTCTGACCTTCAGAAGCTGCCCAGCCAGGAGTCATGATATTGGGATGGACAGCCTTGCACATAGGTGACAGATCTGTCTACATGTATTTTAGTGTGCAGGGGTTTGTTTGTTTTAAGTTCACAAAGAAGTTTTATATAACTAAGCTTACTAGATACGCACAGGTACTCTGGGTGTTAGTACTATTTTTATTGTCATCTTGATTTTACAAAGAACAAAGCTTGAGACTCTCAGGGTTAAAACACTAAGTCATGAAACCACTCAGTTTGTGGATTGTTGAGTCTAGAATTTGTATGGCCTGACTACCTGCAATAAGGCTTTGTGCTGTGTGCAGTGTGTACACACAGACCCATTGTCCCCCACCATGTCCACTCCACAGATGAGGGGTCTTCCTCCTCCTCTCAAGGACTCTGATGACTTTGCTTCTCAATTGCTCTGTTTCAGACCTATGGCAGTGACTTCTTCCCATCAGTCACCACTCTGTGAACTATTGCCCTAGACCACATGGGCACACTGAAAGCATCAAATTCTGCCTTTGGAGACAGCTTCAGAATTATAACATAATCCCCAAGAAGTAAAGAACTATTTCAGAGCACTCCCCCCAAATCTTCACATATCTTAATTTAGAAGCATAAAAGACCCACACTCTGTAAATTACAAAGTTGTGGCTCCCAACACCAAAGGAATTAGTCAATTTTGATTGAAATAGATTTTCAAAACTTGCACAAATTATAAGGCAGAGAGAAACATCCCAGCTCTCTCATTAATTCACTTTTCCAGCAGTGAGTGCTCTGGGAGTGTAGGGCTAAGGCATCCTGCCACACCACTGGGAGATTAGGAGAGAAGCCTGCTGGGGGAAGCTGCACAGACCCTCCTACACCAAGGGATATGAGACCCAAGACAGCTAGCAGCGAGAAGGATGCATCCCCCATGGCAGCTGTTCTTAAAACTCCTTTTCACCATTTAATTGGCACATCTGTAGTCTGAAAGCATTCCAAAGGGGTCTATCCACTCTTTGAACTAACTCTGCCCAGGAAGAGAGGGCAGAAGAAGGTGGGGCCTTCAGTGGCCTGCCCACTGCCCCGGCATGCTGCCAATTCTCTTCCTATTTTCTTTTTTTTTCCTCTTCCCTTCCTCATCCCTTCCTTTGCCTTGCCTCCTTCCCTTCCTTCCTTTTTTTGTTTTGAGACAGAGTTTCACTCAAGGCTCACTCTGTCACCCCGGGTAGAATGCTGTGGCATCATCACAGCTCACAGCAACCTCAAACTCTTGGGTTCAAGAGATCTTCCTGCCTCAGCTTCTTGAGTGGCTGGGACTACAGGAATCCATAACAACACCTGGCTATTTTTTCTATTTTTAGTAGAGATGGGCTTTTGCTCAGGCTGGTCTCAAACTCCTGAGCTCAAGAGATCCTCCCTCCTCAGCTTCCCAGAGTTTTGGGATTACAAGTGTAAGCCATTGCGCCTGCTCTCCTCTATTCCTTGACGAGTGAGGTATTTTTAGAAGATGGTAGTCCAATGAAGTGCATAAAATATGAAACTTTTCTGAAGACCGAGGATAAAATAAAGTTAGATCAGAAGGGAAATAAAATAAAATGCAAATGTTTTCAAATTCCTAGAACAAATGAGGTGAAGTCCCTGCTATCCACAATTTAAAGTGTGTCTGTCAATAATAAGGCACACATGGTTCTGTACCCTCAGCAGTTATGAACTCTTGTTTTTTTCTCTTGGAGGCTCCCGATTTGATTCTGGGACCAGAAAGAATTATTTGAAAGAAATTGATGTTTGAAGGCGGTACCTTGTGGCTCAAAGGAGTAGGGTGCTGGCCCCATATGCCAGAGGTGGCGGGTTCAAACCCAGCCCTGGCCAAAAACTGCAAAAAAAAAAGGAAAAGAAAAGAAATTGATATTTGAAAGAGATAAATATGTGAAAGAGATTATTTGCAAACAGACTCTGAGGGAATCAACCAATGAACAATCTGCGTGAGTGGAATGGTCAAAACTAAACAGACATACCATGTCGCTCACCTCCAGAAACATGCTCTCTGTTCCACTCTTCAAATTTTGTTTTCTTCTGTGTGGTGGGTGCTGTGGGTTTCAGCTTCTGCCACATCCTCATAAAGACTATATTCCCAACAGACATGACTTGGGGGAGATTTGAATTCCTTTCAGAAGCACGCAGCCCTCGGGGCAGGCCCTAGGTCCTTCCTGGAGGGCGGCTCTGGGGAAGAAGCCCTGTAGGGTGCATTCTGCATTCACCTTTGTCAGACGCAGAATCCCTACTGGTACCTGAGTGTGGCTGGGGCTGCATAGCCAAAGGCTCACTAGGCACGTCTACAGTGCTCTGAAGGACAGGCGTCCACTCACACGGGGCCGCTGCCATTACACGGTAAGTGGTTTTTTGTCCTAAGAAAAGTACAAAGATGTCTCTCCACTGATAAGTATCTAATTAGCATCTAAGGATGGCTGTGGTCCCAGGGGTCAGTAATGTTCTAGAAGCAGGAGCCAAATGAAGCAAAATTCATGCAGACTCACCTGTGTGTACGGCTCTGGACTTGTGAATCAGAAGTGTGATAAGTCAGTAATTCACTTAGAGGACTGCTGTTCAATATTCCTGTGTTCACTTAGATACCTGTTTCCAAACTGGCTATATAGGTATTTGATCCATCAGTCAGATTAGGGTAATAAGGTCCCTATGTGACTTCATCTCTCAGGGTATGTTCTCCCTATGGTCTGGAAGGGCTCAAGTGTCCTAGGAGGACAACGTTAACAAATGCTTTCTTGGGATCCATCTTAGGTTGGGTTCCCTTAGAATCAGATCTTGAGTGATACTTCCTGTGGGAGGTCATCTCAGGAAAGATGATAGGGAAGTGAGGGAAGGAAGGGAACATAGCCAATAAAGGGGTGTGGCCACATCAGGTACCTCATGGGCAGCAGAAGCCTGAGTTTGCTGGGGACCATAGGGAGTCATCCCACTGGAATAAATAATCTCCTGTCAGGTAGTAGGTCAGAGACGCTCCCATCCTTTGCACAGCAGACTTCAGATCCTTAAAGTCATCAGGTTGGTAAAGCCATGCCCAGGGGGCTTTTCCTACAAGTTATACCCAGAGAGTATGGGAGGTGGAGAAAGTAGGGGTGCTGGATTCCTCCCAAATTCATACATGGTGCCCTGACAGGAACAAGACCATCATACTAGGGGAACTTCTGAGGGGGTTGGGAGGGTAGTGACCCGAGGAGTGTG